TCCTTTACATTAGAAACCAGCTCCATGAGACACAAATCAGCCAAGCAGGACCCAGTAGAGCTAATTTTATTTCAGTCAAGCACAATGTTCTCCCCTCAATGGTTAACAGGAGCTCAGACTGAATATGTAACAGTGTGTGGAGTAGAGATTTGTCCCTGCTCCTATGTGAACTGAAACCCTTTATATTTGTGCCTCACAGGTTGTGACCTCTGTGCCTTTAGCTGTAATCTGTGTCAATCAGTCAGCCTGGGCTTAATCTGAGAGAGGGAGAAACAGCCTATCTGTTTAAGGCTGAGGCAGAGGAAGAAAAGAGCTACTGAGAGAAGAGCAGGATGGACAGAAGTCAAAATAGTCATTGAAGTTTTGCTGCTCACTGTACCTTAGTATGGCTTTACTACGAATTCTAACCAACAATTAAGAACCACAAATGGTTTCATGCTGTAAAATATAAACCTAAGTGCAGCTGTAAATGTTCACATTAGAAGCTGAAAAGGATGATCTAGAATTAGATATTGGAGGAAATCTCAAATTATCTATTATTAATTAATTAACCATCAGAACAGCAAAACAAAGTAAAACTGCATAAGTAATGAATAAATTCCACGGGAAGTCATCCACACAAATACAAAAAAACAGAAACACATCCAGGTTTCATGACAAAAACACAACTTGAAGCCATTTCTAATAATAAAAAAAACAACAACAATCCATTACTGTAGCACTGAGAAGAAGAAAAGCTTTACTTACAGAAACTTCCCCCATCACCTCCTGTTAGCAGCAGCAGGTATTAGTGGTGGTCCGATTACTGTGAGCAGCGACACACTCACAGCTCCAGAAACAGCCCATAACCCGGAGACAGCTCCTCAGCGGGCAGTCTGCAGAACAGCACCAAGACCCCAGTTTACTACCCAAACTGGTCCTTTTTCAGCGTGACCTTCAGCAAGCTCGCAGTTTCAAACAGCTCTCTTTATCAGAGGAAAAAACAGGAGCTGGCTGAATGATTATCTGAGGAAAGCCTCGCTTAATCTAATTAGACAATCTGTGGCTTCACTGAGTGCCAGAGAGACCGCTGCTGCAGCTCCTCCTGCTGAGAGCGACATGCCAAGTCCACACACGAACTACGTCTACACCTGCTGCATCCTCTGACTGAAAGGCACACAGTAGGCGTACACTCACCAGGTCAACACACACACCCCATCTAAACCTGCTGCTGCTGTGCTTCATACTCCAGAAAGGGTGCGCATTGAGTCCACATATAGCACTGAGACTCCTCCTGCTGAGATGAACCAATTAGATCTAAACAGACCAAACTGTGAAGGTGAATGCAAGTGGTCGGACGTTACAGCCTGACAACCAACTGCAGCCCCAAAGGAAAGTAGTTCAGTACATAACCATCAGCACGACTTCTCATGGAGAATTCCATGAAACAGTCCAACTGTTTGCTCTACTGTGGTCTTTTCACTTTGTTACACACACTTCATCACCCTGAGCAGCAATGATGCATGATGACGTCATGTGACACACGCGCACACACACGGATTACAGTACACAATGACATAGAAGGATTAACTGAGTGTGCACACACACACACACACACACACACACACACACACAGGATAATATCACTCTTTCGTATTTACGTTCTAGTATTTTTGTTTTGATCTAACATGATCTTTGACCCCACACTCTAAAGAGGTCTACACAGCAGTAGTTTAAGGATTGGCTCGACAGATCAGTGATGGACTACTAAGACCAAAGCTCTGGATTCACTGCTTAACAAAAACCACAGTTGATCAAAATGTTTCTATATTCTCTGCATACAACCATGACGAGCCATGAAAGGAAAAACAAACAGAACACAACACACAGAAAAGAAATCAAAGACTACTTTGACAAAGGCAAAACCAGGGCTGTGCAGAAGGTACAGGCCAGAAGTTTACCCATCATGAGCAAACCCCCAAATTTTGGTAATTTGGGGGTTTTAATTATTTCTTTGAACTTCTTTTTTTTCTTCTTTTTTTGAGTTTTTTGGGGGGGAAGGAAGCATATATCTTTGAGGGATTTAAAAGGGAAGAACTGAATGTACAAGTATGAGGTGAAGCTAAAGAATTTGGAGGTAGTCTTCCCACTTCATTATTTCATCCACTGTGAAATGTACCACTACCACAGGAAGCTTGGAAAAAAAAGTCAGAGCATAATTTACTCCTTTACTCCTCTGACCTCTTGTACCTTAGTCAGATAGCTCACCATTGTCTTGTCTGACCATAAAACTATTCTCTAGAACTCCGTCTTTTGAAATATTTGAGTATATTTATACATTTGAGCCTGTATGTATACCGTGTGGACTATAGAAAATCCCAAATAAATGTGAAATTGTACCGTCAGTTTCTGATGTGTGATGTATGCTATGTCATTAAAGATGTATGCTGTACAACCAATCCATCCTGGAAAAAGAGGCAGTCAGAGAAATCACAAAGGCCTGTGACTCTAATGCCCATGATGAGGTATGTAAACATCTGAAAGATCTGAAATAAACAACAATCAGACTGAAAGAAGGCAAAACCCAGAGAATAAACACCAAAAAAACCAACTGTTATAAGACAGGAACAAAACATGAGGCAAGAAGAATCCTACATGATACAGAGACAGTAGAAACCCTAAAAAGACTGGAACAATAATGTGAAAAACAAAAATGCAATGATACCACAAAAAGTTAAAGGTACTAAAACAACACTAAAAATCAAAACCAGAAGCAAAAAATCATTGTAACAATCAACATGACAATTTGGGGACACTGTTTAATAAAATTTGACTGAAATTCTATCACAAAGTTTTTATGCCCTGGTGACTGTCGAAACGAAAGTTAATTTAGATAAAGCCCAAATATTGTTTTGTCACTTGTGTTTTTGTTGCTACAAACATAAAGCAAAATGTCATTTGAATACTTTTTTTTTATTAAATCTCCTTTAATAATATTTTCAAAGTTATGCTAGTCAAGCTAATTGCTAAAACAATTATAACTAAGATTTATGTAGACCACTGGGTGGTTTAGAGCTTTTTGGGTGGCGTTCAAGAATGCCTATATTTCATTTTAGCAGATCTAAAAATAACATTTCAGAAATTCCCACAGCCCATCCAACCAGGAAGGTGACTTGAAACACTCACCAGTATGAAAAAGGGAGGGGGGAGAGGGGGCACTGTGGAATCAGAGCAATAACTTTGAGTGGGAAAAGCCTTTTAAAACCTTACTTTGGGGCAGGGTCACATTTTTTCTATTCGTATCGAAATTGATTACTGAAAATAAATATGACAGTGCATCCAGTAGTCTTAACATGAGTCATAAGAGGCTACTGAAAGAGGAAACCTTGCCCTAAACAATTGATGAGCCTAGCATGATTGACCTGGAAGCAACATCCCAAAGATGTTCTATCTTTGTCAGGACCTGTCAGCCAGCAATGCTCCCAAATCAGATTCTGTCATCCATGCCTTTGTGGACCTTGCTTTGTGCACTAGTGTGCATTCATGTTTGAACAGAAACGGGGCGTACAGGCCGTACAGTAAAGACTTGACAGCTATTTAACACTTCAATACAATTTTTAAAGCTTTGCCTGTCCTTCAAGCAAACTGGAGAGCTATTCCTGAAGACTACTTAAAGAAATTACAAGAAAGCTTGCCTAAGAGAGTGGCTGTGTTGAGAATGGCTATCTCTACAGTTTCCCAAAGTGACACCATCAGTGCTTTTATTTTGTTAAACTGACAGTATACAGCTCATAATTGTGAATAATAAATTAAATATTTATAAATTTTCACATTTAGATAAACTACAATCACGTAATTTGGGGTATTTTGCATGGATTGCACCATAAAACTGTTAAAATACATTAATAATTTTCTTTGTTTAGATGTAGTTTTTATCATGTTTATATTACAAACATCTACGTTTTGTAAATTGAAAACAGGTTTTTTTTTTGTTTGTTTGTTTTTAAATTGAAAACAGGTACTGTGAGACACAAGTAGTAAAGTAACTACCCTAAGCAGGACAGAAAGAGCGACCTCTTGTGGATAAAACAGACACTTCTGCAGATTTTAAACAGCCACATGAGGAGGGCCCTGCTTATATTATCGGAGCTACTGAGACCCTATCGTTGCAGATCACCTGATCAAAGTCTGCTAAATGTCCCACGCTTTTACTTTAAAATCAGAATCAGAGACGATCACGTTTTTGAGGCAATAGTGCCCAAACTTTGTAATAACCTTCAGCATAATGGTCACATTTTACCTGATCAGCTGAATCCGTAATTTGTTTTAAACAACTGCCGAAAACATTTTTTATATATATTTTAGTGTTCTCATAATGATTTCCCCATCCGACAGTCTCGGTCGTTGTGTCCTTGGGCAAGACACTTCACCCGTTGTCTACTGGTGGTGGTCAGAGGCCCGTGTGCCCGTGCAACAGTGTCCGGCAGCCTCTCCTCTGTCAGTGCGCCCCAGGACAGCTGTGGCTACAATGTAGCTTGCCATCACCAGTGTGTGAATGGGTGGATGACTGAATGTAGTGTAAAGCGCTTTGGGGTCCTTAGGGACTAAGTAAAGCGCTATACAAATACAGGCCATTTACCATTATTCGACCTTAGTTTGCATCTATTTGTGTGTAAGTTAAGTATGTATGTTAGAATGGACGTCTGACCGGATGGCTGTTAATGAGTCTGTATGATAGGACTGTATTCTTTAAAAAGTGATACACAAATAAAGGTATTATTGTTGATGTTATTGTTGTTGTTTGTTTTTCCACTCTTCATTTATTCCCCTTTTTGTGTGGTATATGCTTAAAGTCTTTGTTAAGGCATCAGTACTCAGCTAGTGTAATGCATAAACACAAAGAAGGCGAGAACTATTTTGGAGTCTTCTGTCGTCATTGAAGCGGTAATACTAACGACACCTTAACGTTGTCGAAAAAAAAACAAAAAACCTTAACGTAGTCGACGAAGAAGAAAGGCAGTCACGTGTCCGCCACGTGAACAGCTGATTGTGACGTCATTCAGCAACAAGCAACATGGCGGAGTGGAACAGAGGTAAATGTTTTGACACGTATTCACTTCCAAATATTCAGTTGTGTGTTATTTGTGTCAGCTTAGAGATGATGTTACAGCTGGGTGGTACATTTTAAAATGTTATTTTTAAGTATCATTTGCTCGTATAACACCCAAATCTCAAGAGCTAAGCTAACTAGCTCTGACATACTTAAATATTAGCAAAAAGCAAGGCTACCTTGTAAGTTTCATATCAATTGCTATCGCCCTCTAAAGAAGCATCTGCCTCTCTGAAGGGTGATAAAAAGTGATATTATTATTATATTATTATTAGTAGTAGTATCTTATTAGTTTCCCAAATATGGGATAAGTAATACTCCTCGGCAGTGTTGTAAGTTTACTTCACGTCGTTATTCCGTGCTTAGCTTAAAGGGTTGGATTTATAAAGAACATCCCTTCAGCAGAGACTCTGCTCCACACTCAGATCATGCTGATATCAAAATCATTGATGAAAACGTGTTGTTTCCTGTTGATTTAAACCGAAAATTAGAAACATTACCTATTCTTTAAGAAGTTATGTGTTCAGAACTATGTGCTTGGCAAAATCTTATGAGGTCTATCTGCGGTTTTCAACAGAAACATAACAATTCAAGGAACATTCAGATCTTGTGTGTCATATCTAATCCACGGTGTTTGTGCTTGTCCAGGCCATGGCTCTGTGGATGATGTGCTCGATGCTGAAAACAAACGGCTGGCAGAGAACCTGGCCAACAAAGTGTCCAGACTGAAATCTGTGGGTAACAACCAACAACCGTCCCCTTCAGCGACCAGTCTGATTAATAAATCAGCTGGTCTGTAGTTACTAGGTTACTGCTGTCAAATGTACTTAGTTTTAATTATAAGTAAAGCTGTCAGTTCCCAGAATCAGAATTATTAATTATGCCAAACACAGCCAGTTTTGTTATTTAATGTACTGATACATGGCTTATTGCTTGTAAGAATTTCAGGTGTAGAATAGAATAGAATAATCCTTTAATTGTCCCACAAGGGGAAATTTGGTTGTATCAGCAGCAAAAAACATACATATACAAAAAGAACAGGACGCCGAACAGAAAACACAATATTTACATATTTACATCATGGACAATAGTTACCAGAGCAGAGTACAGTACAGTTGTTAAAATTAGCATACAGATAGTGTGCAAACAGAGCAGGATACTGAAAGATGTTTAAATAGTTAAGAATATTTAGAATAATTAGAAAAGTGCAGATTGTGTATTGTACCTGTGCATTAAAAAGTAGATATGTAACTTACAGTAAGTTAGTGTATATATTAGCTGAGAAAAAGTGATGTGCCGTTATAACAGTAGAAGTTGTTGCAGCAAATGCATTACACAGCAAATGTGTAACCAAATGCATCACTGGTGTAATGGTTGTCTTTTATTAATAAATGTACAGCATTGTGAAAATTTGAAAATTGTACAACCAGTGCCTCCAGTGTAAGATGGGACACCATCAGGCACTTCTACATAGTTACATGATATTAAGATTTTCTCACACCAAGCTTCAGGCTCTTCCTGGTTCAGAACAATCCTCTGGGCATTTACTGTACACTAATGAAAACAACTTGTTTACATAGAGTCAAGACAATTAGTCTGCCTACTATACTGACAAGACATCTATAAAGATTACTGTTATTTTTTAGACTGATTCAAAATTTCTGTTATGCTTAAATAAATGACTCATAATTGGTTTAAATCTTGTAGAAATTGTCCCCGATTCAAACCTCTTTGGGGATCCAGAAAATATTTTATGCATGTTCACAGACTTTGACAAATGAGTCGTGTCTGTTTTTAGCAAAGAGTTGTGTTTTAAATCCCTACAACGTCCTGTTTAGTTGAACATCTTCCAATCTGCGCTAAGCTGGTTAGGTACTCAGTGACAGAGCAACAGCCTAAAAGGATAAAGGGTAACCAAGAAGATGTTTGCTTTCCTGTTCTACATTTTCCTCTGCTGTGCCATTCGCTTTTCAGAATCTGCTCTCATGTTCTTTCTTCTGCCTGTAGTCTAACCCTGAGATGATTTAAAACTTCACTTATTACAAGTGATTGCTTATTAGTACATTTTTGCATGAGATTTCACATTTTAGGACATGATAAAAATAATCTAAAATAAAAAGTAATAGTCCTTACAGGTTTCAAAATGGTTTAAATTCAACCTCAGGTGAGCAAGAACATATGTCATAGGAATTAAGAGAGTAAGTAGCACCCGGGTGAAAGTGAAAGTGGCCTCCATAAAAGTAAACGTTTTGACAGTTTGCTGGTCTGCCACAGTCAGACTTCTACAAATAACTTGATCATCTTCTTGTCTCTGTATCTCGCAGTTGGCTTACGACATCGACAGAGAAGTGGACGATCAGAATGAGTACCTGGATGGCATGGTGAGCGTTTCCTGCCTTAAACACAAATATAGTTAAGCTTTTAGTAAAAAAGAACTGACATTTTAATTTCTCCCATTTGTCTATAATGAGAATATTGTTTTAAATATTCACTGAGTTTCACCCTGTTGTATTTTCACGATGGCTCCTCTGAACTGTTTAGTGAATTGTTCAATCTACAGGTTTCACTGGGACCTAACATTCAGGAAACATTTTTATAAAGTCCCAGTATAAAAAATTAGCACTGTGTTGAATGTCAGAATCTGTGTGGATTGATTCATTTGGTAAACAGAGTGCACATTATATAAGTACAAATCAATACTATCTCAAATATAGGCTGTTTTATTTTTTCTCTTAGGTCAATTTATTGTGAATTATTAAAGAATTATCTCCTCTTTCTTTTAGGACTCAAACTTCATGAGTGCGACAGGCCTGCTCACTGGCAGTGTGAAACGTTTCTCCACCATGGTCCGATCAGGACGAGACAACCGCCGTATCCTGTGTTACGTCTCCATGGGGATGGTCCTGGTCTTCCTTGTTCTTTACTACCTGGTGTCCAGGATCCACCAATAACTGGGAAAACAAGATCAGCCAGGCTCTGATATGGAGCTGAGACTTTAGACTGTAATGTCAAAACTGATTTAAATAAAGACTTTTTTTATTTTGCACCAAAGAAAGAAAGCACGACGTAGGCAAAATTGGATTGACCAGTTGGAGGTGTCAGTCAGCCCACCGGAGGAAACTGTAGTGGACGTGGTCACGTCAATGAGACGCCTGAACTTTGGGATCTTTGAGTTGGCTATGAGTACGTCCCATCCTGCAGCAGCAAGTCCTGATTTGGTTGGAAGACAACAGAGCCCGGACGCTCGGGAGGTGGGAATGTCATTCACCATATCCGAGTTTAATTGATTGATGAACCTGTCAATCAGGAGAAAATTTCCAAAAAATCAGTTTGAGTTTTCACACCTAGAGCTTGTTTATCTTCCTCCGAGTCCATCTTGTTTCAGTTCTTGTCACATACAAAAACATCTAACAGCCAAAATGCATCACAAACATACAACACTGTAAGTATTAGGCACATATTTGTCATGCAGGAGGGAGAAAATACAGAAAATATAGAAATGGTGGTGCTGTGTTTAGTCCAAACACCAGTAAGCCACCACATTAAAATTACATGCATAATACATTAACATAAGACTTGTGTTCAGTGTCCTGTGATTTGTGGTCTATATTTATGCTATATTACCACATTCACCTGCATAAATGAGTCACAACAAGAGGGAAACTGAATCAAGAGTCCGACTGTACTAAAGTCAATAACTGGGAAATAATCTGCGATTTTAGTCAGTGTAATGCTCTGCAATGTTGACATTTCTCTCTATCTATGTTTAGTGTTTCCTACTGTCTCACAATGAAGTGCAAGGAAGGAAATGACTGACGAGGCAGAGGTCAAAAAGTTTTATATGTGGAAAATATAGCAATTTTTAATTTGTCCAAAATTAATTGTGTTTGTTACTGCTAGGGCAAACATATGAAGGTCAAACATGCATATATTCATTATTTTGGGGCACTAAAACTAATCAGTCCACCCCACTAGTACAAAAAGTGGTACCATCTGCTTTTGGCTGGTCTTGGTCTTGTCACTGCATTTTGAAAGATAGCTCTTAAGACTTTTGACATGTTCATATGTTATTAGCCATCCTTTCAGTATGTTTGCAATCCAGACTGTTTTTATAATTATAAGAAATGTTGGGACCTATCCTATCCTGTTGATGGGTTACAAGAATATTCATATCATTTTCTTTGCTTCTTTTTTCTTCCACTTTCAGTCACTGAAACAGATATTTGTAATTCTTGAAGAGTTGAAAGTTATATTATTTTCTTATAGTTGAGCATGGGTGAAAGAAATCATTAATACAGATCTAATAAATTATTTAAATTGTAGAAAATGTTGAGGATAATTTATTTAAGTTCTGGTAGTTATGGGCACTGCTACAGATTAATAATACTATTTTAATTAAATACGCATATTTTCAGAACCATAGTGTGTAAAAAAAAAAAAAAAAAAATTGATGATCAAATGAAAAGAAATAAAACATTCATTAGACAACTTCACAATATTTTAAGTAGTTTTTTTGTTACCATAAAATAGTCAGCAGCACACAAACACAGCAGGTAAACACTACGAACAACAGTACACCAAATACAATTACATCAAGAACAAAAAATGTACATTTTTAAAAGAATTTCTGAGCAAAACAAGAAAATGAACACATCTAATATAAACATTTGTATGGGGTGCCTGTAGTGCTGTGTTGCTGTGTCCTTTCGGGTTGGTTCGTGTTCTTTCGGCAATTTCCGGTGTTATCTCCTTCTTCAGACTTGATGAAAATACAAAGAACGGGAAGCCCTCCTCTCTCCGTATTAGCTGAGTCGAGTCCTTTGTGGTTACCTGAATTTTTTGAGAACATTTTAAAGATTACCCGTAAACAGTTCCGTTTGCGGAGATTTCTGTCTGCTCCGTACAGGGCTCGGGTGAGGTCGAACCCACTCTGCCCGACGTCCTTTCTCGGTGACTTTCGGCTCTTGTCGTTCGAGGGAGGAATGGACGAAGCGGACTCGGCAACGAAAGCGCTCGGGCTGGATGAACCGCCCATCGGCGAGCCGCCGGTGGAGGGAGTGGGCTCGGATACCGAGTCGGAGGCCGAAGTTACCACGATGGCTGTGATGGCGGAACCGGGAAACATCGGCTTAGGAGCCGAGTCCCTACCGAACCCAGACGAGGCCGAGGCTGCCTTTGCAGGTAACACGGGCTACAGTTAGCAGCAGGCCGCTGCTGTGCGAGGTGGCGCTAAAACACAAACTGAGATAATAACGTTAGCACCAGCTGCCTCTTAACCAAACACTGTTTATGTACGGGCACTGCTTTAAACGGGGAGAACATTGTTATCTGCCGAATACATTATTTATTATTCAGAAAAGTTAATGATTCATAAGAGAGACGCTTGAAGATGTGTTTAAAAAAAAAAAAAAAACTCGGGTGGCCCAGGTGGCAAACACCGAGGAAACCACAAACATGGGATAGGGGCCAATGCAAAACCAATAATAAATGCAGTGGGGAAGACAGGTATAGAAAATACTGATTTTCAATCTCACGTACATCCTTTTGCCCTCATACAAATGTTGTTATTGTTGAAACTAACCCTGCTAATGAGATTAAACGTCTTTGTGTTGTGGAAAGATTGCATTGCAAAGTGCTAAACTAAGTGGTAGCATCAAAACATGCTTGATCTAATAAAGTTTCTTTATTTAGAATTATATACATTATATACTGAGTCTGCACAAGGGAGACTCAGCCAATGTAGCAGCAATGCAAACTCAAAATACAAAATTTATACACATATATTTATACAAATGCTAAAGACAAAAAAACAAACAAATAAAACGTAGTATCTCAATCACATTTCACATTTTAAATTCCATTTAAATTCAGCAGTAGATACTGTAAAAGCATATTTAGTGTTTAGTATGAAAATACTGTGTTACCCTGATCTGGTGAAACCCACGGAACGTTAAAAAGTAAAAATGTGAAAGCTTCAGATGGATACTACAATAAAATACTTGATTTTCAGCCAAGTGTACATGAGCAAACATGTAACATGATCTTTTCACCATGTTATCAATGATTAAAAGTAAAGAGTTGTCCTTTTACCTTCTACTTCTTTAATAGTTCCAGTTAGCTACAGGATTGTGCAAAATCTTGAGCCAACCCTTCTTTATATTTTGTTTGGGAAATGGGTGCAGTAGTTTATTGAAACGTACAAACAAACATGGAAATACTGTGTACATAAGGCAAAACTAAAGTCTTTATAATTCTGATGATTTTAAAAGTCAATATTTGGTATGAATATCTTTAAGGAAGCTTTCTTTTAACTTCTTTAAATAGTCTTCAGGAATAGTTATTCAAGGACACTCAAAATCTCTTCTTTAGATGCAGTCTTTTGTTCCCTGTCATGATGAGAGATTTGGGAGATTAACAGTACTCTAGTCCAGTGGAATTGGTGAGGGTGTATGGGTCAGGCAGCTCATTATGGTAAATGGTAAATGGCCTGTATTTGTATAGCGCTTTACTAGTCCCTAAGGACCCCAAAGCGCTTTACACATCCAGTCATCCACCCATTCACACACACATTCACACACTGGTGATGGCAAGCTACATTGTAGCCACAGCTGTCCTGCGGCGCACTGACAGAGGCGAGGCTGCCGGACACTGTTGCCACCGGGCCCTCTGACCACCACCAGTAGGCAGCGGGTGAAGTGTCTTGTCCAAGGACACAACGACTGAGACTGTCCAAGCCGGGGCTCGAACCGGCAATTTTCCGATTACGGACACACCGTTGTGTGCGATGCCACATTCCATTCGAAAATTGTAACATATCAGTAACATATACCACAGACATGACTCATCATGTATTTGTCCCAAGTATAATATTTCCCCTCATCCATCTGTTCATTTCCTTCTGCTTAAACTTTATTATTTAAAGCCTGAGAGTAATGTTATGGTGTGGAGTGTGAAAAGTGAGGACCTGGAGGCAGGATTCAAAAACAAAACAAGCTATTTACTGGGCTAGAATGAGTAAATCAAAACAGAGTTCTCAGAATGGAATCCAAATGGCAAGAAAATATAGGGATTGAGGCAGGCAGGAAAACAGTACAACGTGAATACAGTCAGACTAAAACTATGTATATACACAAGGTAATGGGGGGATTAGAGACAGCTAAGCTAACACAGGTGTAGACAATCACACAATGGGTCAGAGGAGGAAGTAGAGCAGAACACAATGCGCAAGAGACTATCAAAATAAAACAGAAAAAGTTGAACATGGGAACACTGGGCACAGAGACGGAAGCTAAACCAGACCACAGGGAACATGGGGAGGGGGGTGAATGAAAAAAGAGAAATAGAGTACTAGCAAACTGTAGTAATGAACAGAAACTAGATAGCAAAACTAACACAACAAATGCTAAATTACTGTGAAGAAAAAGTTCAAGCAGCAAAAGAAAAACAAGAAGCAAACGGAGCAACAAAGACTAAAAAACAAAACAAGACATCCAGTACCATGACTGATATAGATGAAAATCATTCATTCTCATAAGCACATAATAGAAGAGTCTTCCGATTCTGGTAATACCAGTGTTTATTGTTTTCTATGTTACCTGCTTTAGGTCATTATTATTGTAATCCTCCTTTGTAGTTATATTTTTATTCATACTGTATTCCTGCTAATCTGGAGGTTTATGTGTCGATGAAATTTCTTGTTGTTGATCAGATGTGACGGCAGTTACAGTGGGTGGCGTTCATGCGACAGAGGACAATGTTTTCACCACAACAGTCGCCACATCTGGGAGTCTCCCTGAACACGTGCTGGTAGATTAACACACACTTGACTAGATCCATTCCCCTTCTATTTTTGCCATTTATCACATTTTGATGATGATAAACAGTATCTTATGACATTATTTACAGAAAATTGAGGTGACGTTGAATAAAAACCAATTAATGTTAAATGTCCTCAGCACAGAACTGATTCATTTGTGCACGTTAGCACTGTAGCGTTAATTATTAGAACCTAATTCACAAAATCACATGGGCTTCCCTGCTGACTACTCGAGTAGTTTTTTAAAACATCAACATATTCTCATACCTCTTATGCTGCTCCATGATTATGAGTGTATGTACTCCTTCCACATCTGTCACAGAGCGGCAGGACCACTCTCCAGCTGGGTGAAGGTCTCAGTACCCAGAAGGCTACTCTGATTGTGGTTCACACTGACGGCAGCATCGTGGAAGCAGCTGGCCTCAAGTCCGCTGCCACCATCACATCAGGTACACCCCTGTGTGTGTGTGTGTGTGTGTGTGTGTGTGTGTGTGTGTGTGTGTGTGTGTGTGTGTGTGTGTGTGTGTGTGTGTGGTGTCTACAGGTGTCTGGTAATCTGAAATGTCTGATCTGTGCATTTTTTTATGTTCTCCTGTGCTTCTCCCAGGTCCACAGACTCCACCCACTCCTCTGACTCCACCCCAGGACAAAGACTCCTGCTCCAAGTACAACTGGGATCCCTCAGTTTACAACAATGAGCTGCCAGTACGCTGCAGGAATACCAGCGGACTTCTGTACAAAAACAGACTGGGATCAGGTGATTATCACACCTATGCATGCTATATCACATGGTCAAGCTGATCTTGTTATTCAGGTTACTGTGGAGATGTAAAACTCCTGATTAACTGGTTGTAGTAGGTTAGAACTGTGATCAAACATTTGCAAAAACTGGCAACGAGTCTTTCACATCCCTGTGGTGGAATTTTACCCATCTTATTTTAGTATAATTATTTTAATTCAGCCACATTATAGCGTTGTTGAGTGTGAAGGGCCAATTTAAGGACATGCCAAACAATCTCAGTCAAATTTAAGACCAGACTTTGAGTAGGCCACTCTGCTTTTGTCTCATGAGCAGTTCAGAGGTGGACTTGCTGGTAGAGCAGGGCGATATGACCAAAAATATTTATCACAATATACATTTGAAAATTTGTGATAACGATATAACTGACGATATAATCGACACTAGACAAAATACTTTACAACTCCACAACTTTATTAGTGCAAAAAAAAATCAACATATTTTCACTTAAACAAGCAGCTGTTTTTTTTATGTGCATTAAAGTTATATAAAATTTAACATTTCAAATGCAAATTCCTTGCTGACAGTTTAACCAAAAGGCATTTCCAGTGGA